CAAAAATCTAAAGGCAAAAAAAGATCTTCCCCATGATTATTCTTTCTGAAAGGTGTTGGTGTCAGCTTCCAATGAAGCAGCCACATTAAATTATAAGTACATAATGTGTTAGGGCATTCTCTATCTTTTCTTGTCTTACCTAAGTTTACTTTAAGAAAACATTTTAAATGTCACAAACTTAATTGCACCATAATAAAAAATTAATGATACGCGCTTTGTTACCTGTCATGAGCTTGAGTAAAGATCACATACACCAACGTTTGTTACATTAAAAATTTGAAACTCATGAGTTTAAGTTTCAAAATTCTTCTTTCTGTTATACCCACCAAATGTTTAATAAAATATCTATGTTGACTTGCATGTGTTGAGTTTAGTTCAATGTGTATTGAGAGTATATTGCAAAGTATCTAGGGTGGGATGTGACATGTATTTGAGTTTAGGGATCTTTGTAACATGCGTTGAAACTTAAAACTATCCCACATAGAGTTATATGTACTTTCTTAAATAAAATACTTTTCTTGTTGATTTCATAAAAAGGAAAATTTTTTAAATAAAAAAAAATATATGAAATAGTCACAGTCTCACTCATGCATGAAGTATGAACATGTTCCTGGTTTAAATAAAAAAACAAGAGATAATTAAGTCCAATGTATATTTATTGATGTCTGTCCTTTTGATTGTGATGTGTTGTATTTTGGACAATGTTTTTTGTCTGGAGCATGGTAATTATGCATATTGGAAAGGAGATGACCGTTCTCCCAGTTGCTGCCTAACTTGACTAGTTATCGATGATTGGATGTAGAGATAGGCCACGCTTTTAATACCCAAAATATATAAGGGTTCTGAGCTAACTTTGTCTAGTTTAACTAGAATCTAGAAATGTATGTTGATTACTGTCCCTATCTTAAAGAAAATTGTGACAAGAGCAAACATGATCAAAAGGTATAAAGGATGCCCCAATAGCAGTGCAGATTTACTGGGTCGAACTTGGTAAAAATAAAAATGATATTTTATTTTGTAATTTAAATTGTATCGCATTATAAAACATCAATCATTATTATTGGGGCCTACTTTTAGACTAAAAAAACTCAAAAATTACATTTGTAATGGTATTAACACTTCAAGAGATACTAGCAATAATACATACCTGCAACTTAAGATCACAACCAAATATCTCAAACCCAAATTAAATACCCATCACAATCAGGGTCGTTGATCGATCTTCGGCCATTTCCATGCAAAATACAATAAAAATTTTCTATTAGATAAAATCATAGAATGAAAATGACCCTTAAAAACTTTGGTAAAAAAAAAATCAAGATGTTTTTAATATTAAAAATGTTAATATATTTAGTATTGACTATATAATAAGTTTAATAAATTTACAATTCATACTATGTATATGC